AGCCGTGCGCGCGGGGCCGAGCCGCGCCGTGCCCGCGCAGCGCGCTCTGGCGGCGCCGCCATCTTCCACGTCTGTCTGTCCGCGGCCCTTTGTCTGTCTGCGGCTCCCGGCGCAGTGGGTAAGGCGGGCCCGGCCGGGCCGGGCGGCGGCGGCCGGGCCAGGCTGGGCCGAGTCGGGCAGGGCCGGGGCCCCCGCGAGGGGCGGGATGGGGACCCGGCCTCCGCCGGCGGCCGCACCACTCGGGCTGTCGGTCTGTCTGTCCAGGCGGCGTCGCCCGCCGGGCAGCAGGATCCTTTCGGCCCGGGGTGCCGCCCTCGGCGCTGGGTCTGCCCACCGGTGCCGGGCCCTGTCCGTGTGTCCGCGCTGGATCCCAGTGTCCGTGTGTCCCTGGTGCGGGCTGGATCCCGGTATTCATGTGTCCCTGGTGCGAGCTGGATCCCCATGTCCATGTGTCCGCCTCGGGCAGGCAGGGTCTCAGCTCTGCTTTCGCCCCTGCTGGATGGATGTCTGGATGCTCCCTGCTCCCAGCCGTTGGAACGGGGAACCGTGTTCCCCTGGAAGGGACAGGGTCGCCCTTCTCCCCATGCAGCAGTGTGTCCTCATGTCTGTCCTGGTTCCTGCACGAGGGGTCACTATGTCTTCCCTGCATGAGAATCGGGGTGTCCACATTCCCCTCCCGTGAGGGCCCGGGCATTCGATTGCCCTCCAAGGGCTGGAGGGTCGGTGTGTCCTCACCATTGACCTGCTCCCTCCCGTGTCTTCCACGGTTACCCTCTGCCCGCCATGGGGCCGCACCTTGGGCTGTGGCTCAGCGTGGGTCTATGGGTCCAGCCCGTTCCTCCCTCGGCGCCTGCCTTGTTGTGCACAGCCAGGGCGAGGCCACGGGCAGGAGCAGCCGCGGCCCTGCGGTGCCGGTGCCTACAACCAGCTCTTCTCTCCCCGCTTAGGCCCCCGCTCTGCCACCGGAGGGACGGCGCTGTGCTCTGGCCCGGGAATCATGTCCCGTCGGAAACAGACCACTCCCAACAAAGTTCACTGTGAGTATCCCCTGCGCGACAGCAGGTGCCGGCACACGGGCGCACGCGGGTTCCGGAGAGCTGCGCTTGCAAGCTCGCGTGGTGGGCAGCAGCCGCTGCGCCTGGCGGCACGCACAGCCTGGCTGTGTCTGCGCGGGGCTGCAGCCGGGCTCTGCTCCGCACTGTCCCCGTAACCCCTGCTCCAAGAAACGTGGCTTCCATTGCATGGGAAGCTCTGGGCCAGGTAAGCCGGGGTCCTGGGTCCTCGCCTGTGCCCTGACACAGGCTCAGCTCTGATCCTGGACATGCCACGTGCGCTCGCTATCCCCGATTTTCCTGCCAGGTGCTTTGCGCGGATCCGCCTGCCCTTCCCTTGCAGGCAATGGGCACTGGCTGAAAGTCAGTGGGCTGATAAGCCCCGTCCGTCAGATCGCGCTTGGCCTCAGCTCAGAGGACAGTCCTCTGTTCCTGCAGTGACGTCGAGGCACCAGCGTTTGTCCTGCCGCGGAGCGGCTGTGGGCGCTATTCATGCGTGCTTGCTGTGGGCAGGCTGCAGCGAGGTGCGAGCGGAGCAGGGGACAGATGCATGGGTGTCAGGCTGCAGAGTGGGAACAGCACATCCGCAGTGGCTGCTTGACCGGCTGTGCCAAGGGAGAACTGGGAACTGGGCGTACAGTCTTGCATAGACCTGGCCCTGTGGTTAGAGACGTGTCTGGAGCCAAGGCTGGAAAGGGGACGGCAAGTTCCTGTGCTGGGGGACGCACAGCTGGCGAGATGAGGAGGCATCGGGATTGCTGGAGTGTTGTGGCTGTCCTGGATGCTGGGAGCTGGAGCCACGGCCCTCGCAGTGCCTCCCATCGCTGCTGCTGCTGCCTTGCATGTCTGTTTGTGCTGTCTGTGTGTATGGATATGGCAACAGAAATCTGTGCATGCTGTTCTCTGTACACTCAACAAACATAATGTGGGAAATTACTTCTGTCTGTAATTTGGGATTTCCTACTGGGGAGAATGAGCTCTCCGGGATTTGAAAGCCTGCTGGGCTGCCGGCGCTGTGCGTGGGAGGGCAGACAAAGGTTCCCTTGGTGCCTGGTGTAAGGGAATGGAGGGCGACTTTTGGCAGCTGCCCTGTGACTTGTGCTCACCAGTTCCTGCTTCTCTGTGCTGGGTTCAGCTTGGGCACATTGTGGCTTTGGTTTGCCTGCTGTACATTAATGACTTTGGAATTGTCTTCATTAGAGTAATGTGATATTTTTGTGTGTGTTTTCTTCTACCGTGCCAGTAACACATCTTGCATCCACACATACTTGCTTCCAAAAGTGCACAGATACTACTTGCTTCTGTTTAGGTTAAACTTACATGCAGCAGCTCTTGCGCTTTCTGCCCTGTGTAGATGTATTCTGCCTTGTGGATGTTTGCAGACCAAAGGACACAGCAGCTGTAATGGTATGGGTAGCTTTTCCATGGTGTTCAGGTGGTCTCTGTGCTTTTCTGTGCTCCACTGTAATAGGGTTTTGTTCCTTGGAAGCCAGCACAGAGCTCTGCCTAATATGGAGTTCAGCTTTGCACTGTTTTCACAGCGGACATTGCCTTTAATATCTGCAACAAAGCTGATTGCATTGCCAGTTTTGCTCTCAGGGGAGACTGACTGACAGACATGCTACCAGCAGGCATGAGGCTGAAGTATGGTATCTGATAAGGCTTGGAGAGAGGAGGTCTGGGACCAGATCACCTGCTTGAAATGCAAAACATTAGCTCTCAGAACAGCTACTTGATAGGAGACAGCAGGAGCAGCAAGCAGAACCACAAGAAGATAAAGGGACTGAGAGATACAAGGCAAATGGCAGTGATGATGTCTGCACCTTGCGATGCAAATCTTGTCTGTCTTGTGATGAGCACCACCAAATCGTTGGGACTTCTCTGTCTGCCTAGCCTGCTGCGTATCTGGAGGGCCCAGAAATGCCATGCAGTGCACTGGTGAATGACAAGGATAATCGGAAAGAGCACCAGCTCCAAGATCTGGGTGAGCCAGCAGGATGAGGAGTCAGGCTGAGAGATAGCAAGCACCTTACTGACACTTCCCCACGGGGACTGAAATGGCTGGGAGGAGAAAAATGAAAGGGTCAGCAGGTATGCAGTGGTTTTTTTTGTTTTTTTTTTTTTTTTAATGCAGTTGTCTGCAATTGAGATCTGATTTGGCAGGCTTTGGGGCCGAGGAACTGCATTTTGGAATCGCATAAATACTGCTGTGAATGACTAGTTGGGCAAATTTGTGGGAGGATTGTGCCTACTTCCTTGCTTGACCGCCCCACCTTATCTTCCTTCTCAGATTCACTGAACAGACAACAGCTGCAGAGCTCTCCCTGGCTTGCTCAGTGCCACCCCTTGTTATCTTCCAGGCTTGGCATGCCCCTCATTTAACCTTGCTCTCAGAACAACATGGTTTGCTGTCCCCAATTAGCGCAAAAACCCTTTGTTTGGCATGCAAAGTGACCGGCTGGGAATTGTATGGTTACAAGTCAAATGGTTTGAAATGGAAGGTGAAGTAGGAGGAAATTGAAAATTCGACAGAAACAACCACAAAAGCTACTGTTATTGCAAAAGTTCCATTTTGCACAATGGCCAGGGCTTCTGTCCTTCAGGCTGCAGCTGTTTCCCCTTTGGCGAGGCTGCAGCTCATAGCTAGCTCTTAATAATGTCACTTTGCTTTGCCATATGGTGCACAAAAAGCGTTTTCATCCAAGTAAGTGACAACAAATAAAACTATCGTAATGGAACATACTTACTATATTTCCCATTCCTTATTGAACTGGAAAATACAATGCAGTTTTCTTGTTTGTATGGAGATATCTTCATTAGTTCTATTTGGTCTCTCTTTTCTCCCAGTCTCTACAGTATAAGATCTCCATGAGCAAATCATCTGATCTTGCATCTAAGCCCATCCACTGCTGCACTGTCCCTCCATCCGCTGTGGGCAAGTCCACTGTTCTTGTGCTTGCCAAAACTTCTGCTGCAGGATTTTTCTTATTTTTCTGCTTCTGTCACTGCTGTTCCATGAGCTGCTCTTCTCTCTGCAGACTGAACCCTTTGCAAGTGTTGCTTCCTTCAGAAGTCTTAGAAACAGCTTTGTTAGTCAAATTAATTAGCACTTCCTAGCTACTTATCATGTCCTAATATCCGATTAATGCTGTATCTCTTTCCCTCTCTGTCTGATCTGCACATGCTCTCTGCTCTTCGGTGTTCCTTGAATTCTGCTGTCCTCATCTCCAGCTTGAGGAGAACACGCCTTGCAAGGAGTAGCACCCATCATTCAAAACTAAGCAAGAAATGTTGCTTGCATCATATTCCTTTGTTCTTCCAGTGCGCTGTGGTCCATGGTTATTAACTTTCTCAATTGTTTTTCATTTCAGTAACCACTGCAGCAGTGCGGAGAGCCCAGAATAGCCATGGGGCAGGTGGACTAGATCCACAGTGGTGGAAAGACTGGCAGATTTCAGGTCCAGGAAAGGAACACAGAGAAGACCTACACGAACAGGGACTTTAAATTGATGCACAAGGAGGGGAGGGAGGGGATTTCTCTTCGTCTCTGAGAAATCTTTCTGTTTAGGAAGAAGGACAGGAGAATGAAGCAGTCTCTTTTGTTTCGCAGGTTTTGAGGTGGGGGATGTTTGTTTGTGTGTTTATTTTCCAGAGCACCCGAGAGTTGTCCTGCATTCACATAGTTCAAGAAGGGAAGGGCTCAGGAAAAGTGATTTCTGGCTGCCAAGCTGATTCATCACCATATCCTAGCAGTCAGGACTGCCTCAGTTGCACAGTACCGCAGGGCTGCCCCCTACTTCCACAGCTGCTCTCCTGGCATCCCACTCATTCACCACACTCAGAGGAGGACTGGAGCACAAAGCAGAGGCTTTCGTGTGACCTTTCTCTGTCCCACATCTCTAGCTGTTTGTAAAGCAAATTCAGTGACTTGTTTCAGTGCTGCAGTCAGTCTGCAGCCCTTCTTGTATTTAATAAAGAAACTTCTGGAGCAGAGTCTGTGAATTCAATATTGAACATAGCGTTCTTTACTCATAGTGGTGATCTTAAATCTATTTCCTCTCTTATTCCATTGCAAGTGAATGTAAGCATAGCAGGGAACAGGTTGCCCAGAGAGGTTGTGGAGTCTCCTTCTTTGGAGATCTTTAAAACCCGCTTGGATGCAGCCCTGTGCTACGTGCTCTAGGTGACCCTGCGTGAGCAGCGGGGTTGGACTCGATGACCTCTGAGGTCCCTTCCAACCTTGGGCATTCTATGATTCTATGATTCTAGGGGGGTAAGGTGTTTGTGTCTGAGCATATGTGTGCAGAAACAAGAAAGTCATAACTCTGTACCGATCGAGCATTAAAGCTATGTCCTAAAATATGACTTAGTCTATAACTTGATGAATGGAGCCCTCCTCCCCAGATTCTTTGGGAAACAATATTAGATTAGTATACAAAAAAATCACATAAGCAAAAGGTAGAGTTCTAAAAAGTTTGGCCTTCCCCCTCCCCCCCCCAGTCCCATGATGCCTTTTAGATACAGGGGTTTAGTTAACAGTTTTTATTTCTCACTTTATGCTGACAGGTTTTACACTGCGCTGAATCGCTGATTCAATATTAACTTGATTTTATGTATGTCATACAGAAAGGCAATTGACAGACTTGATTGCTATTTAGTTGTTGTGATTGATGTTAATTTTACTGATAGGAATTGAGTCCCCTCCTCTGAGAAATATCTCTGCTTTATAAAATCCTGACCCTACAGCCTCCAGCTTCCATTCAATGTAGCCTTGGGAGGACATATGTGTCACAGCCATAACGGTGCTACCCACTGCTTTCCATGGCAGATAAGATATAATGTGCTCCGTGGCATCATGCAGGTTGTGTTCCCAAGCCCTCCACAGAAATCCTTCTTGTATTTCCAAGAAAGAAGGACAAAGGCCTTCAAATGCTTTTGGAAACCTCTGTGGGGACAGTGGGAACTCAACCTCCTCTCCCATAGTCTCCGTGAAACTTCTGAAGGTCTTTGAAACCTGATCAATAAGTAGCTGCTTCCTAAAGCAGCGCCAGAGCCGCGAGGTAAACACCAGCAAGGCAGAAAGAGCATCGCCGCGTGACGTGACGTGCCGCACTGGTCGTCCCAAAGGGCCAAGAGGTAGGACCCTGCTTAGAGTGGTGATAGTGGTGACCCTGTGCTGAAAGATGCCATTCTGGTCTGAAAGATGTGCTTTGACTTGTTACATGTGAAAAATGTATGGCATCTTTCTTGATATTTTTGTATTTATGCTTTGAGTAGCTTGTGAGAACTTACAAATTAGCTGATAAATTTAATCAGAAAGCTGGAACTTTGAGAATGCTAGCACTTTGTCCCAAATACTTCCTGCCTATCCACTGATAGCAGCAAGTCGTGACTACATCCAGACAAAGGCCATTTGTTTGTTTTAATGTGAAAAATAATGGTTGGCTTTTACCATTATTCCTTGGAAGAGAAAATTTTCTCTACTGGAGATTACTGCAATAAGTTTTCTTCCAGGGAAGCTGAAATATTTGCTTTCTTGCAGTTGTTTGGCATCTCCTGTTGTGCTGTGGTGTCAGCGATCACTGTGTGCTGTTCCCCAGAAGACAGGCTGTAAGCTGTGCCCCAAACCCACCTCAGCGCTGCGGGTTCCGTGCCCTGCAGCTTTTCCTTGGCGCGTGCAGTGTCACTGCAGTGATTCCAGCCAGGACGAAGCCAGTTATCTGTCACGTCGGTGGGAAGCAGCAGGTGGAGCGGGGAGAGCTTCCTGCAGGGCAGCAGATCTGCGTCCTCGCGCAGGAGGGAAGCACCAGCCCTGTGGGAGAGACTGCTTCTGTGCAAGTCTCGTGAGAAAAACATACCTGTGTGTCTGTCTCTCTGCAGGGAGAAATACACATTATGAAAAATAATAGCAATAAAAAGCAGTCCCAAATACCTTATCTATGACTCTCCAAGCATACCTGCTGCGCTGGGAAAGCCCAAGCCTGTCAGGTGGAGTCGAGGTTTGTGCTGCTCCACAGCCATCCACATGCTGCTGGGTCACCAGTGTGCACCAGCAGACATAGTCCAGTTCATTAAGCCAGCTAAAAAGCACAACTATCTTTTTTTTTTTTTTTCCTCCAATTAACCAGAAATAGTGTAGGTAGCATTTTATCTGATTAATTACTTGCTGCCTATGGAGGAGCTTCTAAATAACTAAAGAAGAAATTCACACAGTGATTTAATTAAGGTCGAGAAGATTTCAGTGGAACCACATGACAGGGAAATATGACAAATATTATAAGCAGGAAATGCCAACAGAGAATATTTAGAGTTCAGCTTAGCAGCTGCAATGATTTTAAGCTATTGAATACTGCAATTCAGGCAGGCACAAGGACTTAGTCTGTCCTGTAGATGCACAGCCAAAATGTACAGAGAGAAAAATAGAGCCTATGTTTAAAACTTAGTGTCACTTTGCTTGTGAATCGCGGAAGCGCCCACAGTGCTGCTTCCCTTGACCTCCGTGCGGTCGGGTTGCCCCTGGCCGTCCTGAGCAGAGCCCAGCATGCAGCCGCAGCGCCCACGGGCCGCCTCACAGCACCGTGCTTGGTTTGGGGCTCTGCTGTCCCCGGCGCCGTCCCCGCCTGTGCTGCAGTGCGGGCAGACAGCAGGGCCGGGGGCACAGGGGCGCGCGGGACACAGGGACTCACGGGGCACAGGAACACGCGGGGCACAGGGGCTCGCGGGCGGTAGTGAGCGCCGAGGCACGAGGGGCGTCCCCTGAGCACCCCCTGGCCCAACAGCTTCGCGAGCGACTGCTGGAGGGCCGGGGCTGGGCACCAGGCGCAGGTGGTCGGAGCCGCGGGGCCACCGTGCGCAGGAACAGCTGCCTGGGAAGGGGCAGCCTCGGAGGCCGGTCCGGGAGCAGAGCAGCCCCTGCCTGGCTGCTTCGGGCAGCAGTGGCTACCTCTGACTC